GGGTTTGGGACTTTGGGTACGCAAACTGGTGGAATGGGCCCAAAACCGGCAACAATTACATTGATTCTAGCGCCCTGAACTGAAGAGGGGACTGTAAGACGAGAACGTTTTGAGGGTGGTCCAGCCTCGGTGGGACTTAACCTTTTTCTCTCTTCTGAGGCATCAGGACTGCTTTGGATGCATAGGGTCCAGCTTTAGCTTGGGGCGAGGCACTTGACGCTTCAGATATGGGTAACATTTGGCTGGGCGGAGGAATTGCTTGACTTCCGGCTGGGGCTGGACGGGCACTGGTGGCAGTGGTGGAGATGGTTCTTTTAGGCAAGAAATTACGCATAGCCTGTGATGACATCTGAGCCTTGATGTAGCATTCTGCGAAGGCATTCACCGCAGAGCCAAACAGGCCCAATGGGGAGACAGAGGATCAAGAAGAGTCTTGTCGGCGTCCTTAATCGCAGTGAGATTGACCCACAAGTGGCGCTCCAGCACCACTAGACCGGCCATAGCGAAGAGGAACAGTGGAGGCATTCCACGTCTTTCCTCCAGAAAGAATGGGGCTGGTGCTGTAGGAACCATTCGTTGAGTTGGCTGCGGGCGGGCTCTTCTGGGGCCGACCAGTCCAAGCTGAGCTCTTTGACAGCTTTAGTGAGGACTCGCAAAAGCTCTGATTCCAGGCAAGGCCGTGCTTTACCACTGTTTATGTGGCAGGGTCTACTTCTTCTTTAGACCCACCAAATGAGACCATGCCACTCGCACCAGATGAGGGGCGTTGATCCTTGTGGGTGAAGAACACAGGGGACTTGTGACGGTGAGGGGAGAGCAAGGCACACGAGTGCTGGGCCGATGTGAACTCAATTCCACCTTCCTGCTCAGCTTGGTGGCTCTGTTTCTTCTTTCACCTTGGTTCGAGAGAGCAAGGAGATGTGGAAGTGCCAGGATTGCTAAAAAGCTCTATCCGGGCGCTCAGCGTCACAAAATTCAGCTTCTTGCAGTGCGGGCAGCTTGAGTCTAGAAATGCCGCCTCGGCATGGGCCCAAGCAAGAAGTGCACTCAGAGTGCTCATCTAGAGTAGGCAGGTGAGCCCTGTACAAGCCACATTCATGGCATGACAGACATTTGAAAAAAAAAAAACGTCACTGAAATTTGCTCTTTGAAGTTGCTTTTTTATTTAACCTTTGGAAAGCACCAGGGGAGACACTCAGTCAGCTTGCTTGTAGAGCGCTGTTTCAGTCAGCTTGCTTGCAGGGCGTCTTGTTTTGCTTGACAGCAAGTAGCGAATGGAGGCTTCAGTCTTCTTCGGAACAGCGAGATGATCTTAGTGCTGAAGGAAAGATTCTGACTAATGAGAATTCTGCATGACTTATTTTGGCAGCCAACCCCGCCCTTTTTGTTGGGCTAAAATGTAATGCACAGACATGAACCAATCAGCCTTCAGGATTCTGAGAAAAGGAGCTTTCCTCATAGGTGTCAACGTACGCACCAAAGTAATTTTTTATCAATAATTTTTAGTAATTTTTTATTAACTCCTTCGGTATTTGGTGCAGATGGTCTATGGATTTTTGGCTGTTTTTGATTAGCCTATTATTTCTTAGGAAACAATAACTGTTTTACTAATCAAAGTCACCCAATCAAAGTTGTGGTGAAACATACTGTAACACGCATAAAAAATAAAAATAACTTGAAATTATATCACAGATAGCCCCCCTAGCAGACCCTCATGACTGTGTCAAGGTCAATCAGTCTCTTGTAATATCAGCTAATTTTACCATTTTATGACAAACAAGGTTAGTTCAGATTGTAAAATGGCAATGGACACCCAAAATGTAATATGTATGAATTAATTCATGATATCAGAATTAAAAATGGAAAATATGTTACTACTTTTTACTTGTTTTATTTACTTGTTTTCACTTTCCTGAAAATGAATTCAAAGCAATAAGAAACACAAACACAAAGTGTACATTTCAAAGGACTTGACCAAATCAATTTAGGATTTAAATGCATACTCAAGTAAAGAGATAAATAAGCTATTTTGATTATTCCACCAGCCTCCCCAGATGGAGGTCTTGCAGCAGAGCCGGTTCTGGTGCCTGAGGAGTCCTGTTCTTTGCCTGAAGATGATGATCTGCTCTCTGTGCAGGGCAGTGCTGCTGTGGGATCCACCATCCAGTATCAATGTGCATCTGGGTGAGATTGAAGAGAAAAAATAAAAATTGGAAAGAGAAATCTGTGACTGATATAAAACAGAATATCTCTTTTTATTATAATTATGCAATCTACACAACTCGTCCTTTTCCCCATACAGATCTGTGCTGATTGGAAATAGTGAGAATATCTGTCATGAGAACCAGACATGGCAATACCCTCACCCCATCTGTCGCCGTAAGTGTGTGTGTGTGTGCGTGCGTTTGTATCTACACATCCTCCTCCGCATGGGAATGACTGAGAGATCTTGCTAAAAGGAAATAGCAGGTGTATTAGAATGTATGCTTGAGTGGAAGATGTTGATTCAAACTGTTAAAGAGATATTGTGTAGCTGCACCAAATGGTGCAAAGTAATGAAAGAGAGATGAGAGGGACAGCGGGAGAGAGAAGAGCAATAAAGACTGTGTGGGTTTGAGAGTAGGCGGATAGGGCACTATGTGTAAATGATTTTTTTGAGTGTGTAGAGCTAGTGGAGCTTCACTTAAAATGCCGGTTTCACTAAATTTTTCTGGTGCAATGATGCCCCCTGTTGGATCAACATCATTTTTGCAGCTATGTTCCAACATCTTTGCTAATCCTGGAACAGCAAAGATGGGTTTACAGTTTAAGTCAAAAGACAATTTGAAGCATTACATTTTACACTATACATAAACACATACTCCTGGTTTCACAGACAAGGCTAAGCTTGTTCCAGACTAACATACATGTTTGAGCTGTCTTTGAAACGGGGCCCAAAACATTAAAATAATTTGCTTCTTGTAGCATATAATCAATGTCGATTGAGCACAGGATTATTCCTTTAAGAGTTTTCATGCAACTGTAATTCTGCAAGTACATTTATGCTTTATCTGTTTGTTACCAGGTGTGGTTTGTCCTCGTCCAAAGGAGGTTGATCGTGGACACCTGGTGGCTGTCCAGAGAAATGAATATGAAGTTGGTGACACAATTTATTACCTTTGCAAGAAAACCTTCTTTTTGGATGGACCAAATCAAGTGACTTGTCTACCTAATGGGACATGGAGCGCAGAGCCTGCTTGCCGAGGTAAGAAAAGCTGGTAACAACACAATACATAGTCATCATGGCTGTGTCGAAGTTTTACATTAAGCATTTTAATTTTTTTTCCAATGTAAGGCTTGGAGCGTTTTGGTTTCCAGCCATGAATAATAAACCTCCTTTCCTTTTTGTCATGACCAATATCTCCCATCATTCTCTTCACCATTTCTTCCCTTGCCCTTTTCGGTCAGCCCGTTGTCCAGTCCCAGCTCAACGCAGCAGGGTGATTGTGGGAGCACTAAAGCGCTGGCCATATGACCTGACGGATGGTGTGGTTGCCCATGGAGAGAAAGTGACATTTTTCTGTAAACATGCGGAAAAACATTGCAGCTTCACTGCCACAGAGGTCTGCGTAGATGGACAGCTCAAGGCACCTAGTTGCTACCTTGGTACACAATTTCCACCTCATTTATACATATGATACTTTACACTTAAAAATAACCCTGAATCACCTTCATCTACCTCTTTTCTCTTTAGACCCTACCTGGCTGCAGTTCAAGCTCTTCCCTCATCGACTGGTTTCTGAGATTGATGCATGCGACCCTGCTGACCTTCAGTAAACACATCAAATTATGACAACATATTTTATATGTTGGCACACACTTCTCTCCTTACTTTGGAGGAGAGAAACAATTGTTTTATTAACATGCCACTACATTTTTTATTTTGGACTGGATCTCAGGATCTCAGAGTTATGCCTCATTTAACTCTTCTTTCTTATGTTGTATGTTGCATTGACAAAGTTACCTTAAACTGAGTTTGTATCATACTGTATCTGATGTATGCAGACCCCCTCATACTTGCTTGAGGTCACGATTTTCATAAGCTGCTATCTTTTGTTGTGTTTTGTAGCTATACTAAGCGTAAAAGTGCTTTTTAGTTATAGCATTTATGTTTATCTTAATATTTAATTTCTTTGTTGAAGGGTTCACCCAAAAACTAAAATTCTGTCATCATTCACTTGTCAATATACCACAACCAAGAATGCACAGGCTGATGGTCTCTGAAATCATGCGTGTACAGATGCTCTCTAATTTTACTGTACTAAAAGCAGTTTTATAGAGTTAACTGATTTTTGACCGGACTGCTGATAAGAATAGAGTAAACTTGAATATCATTGCATAAAAGCTTTGCTGATATACAGCCATGCTGAATTGTGCTTTTATTAGGATTTAGTTGTGCATTGTGCGAACTCCATAATAAATAATCTCTCTTGGCATGATTCTACAATAAAGAAATTGGAAACTGTTTGTTGTCATACTGCTTTTATTTTACTTGGCAAGTCTGTGCTCTGTATAAATGATTTAGATTGAATCCTTTTATTTATACAATTTATTACCTTTTAATTTTAGGGTGAACTTTTACCTGAGACAGTTAAAGAAGATTCCCTCTTAGGATTATGTTTTGTTTTATTCATAAACAAAATCTCATAAACATACTGTCAAATACACAACTAAAGTTATGTTCAAAATTTTCAGTCTTACACGAGTCCAGGCCGGACGTAAAAAACTGCAACACCACGACATCCCCCCTCCCCGCTCTCTCGCGCTCAACCTCTCCGCCCAGTCATTCATTCATATTTGGTCTTCCGGAAGTATCTCAGGGTCGGGCCAGTCAGTGCCTGCGCGAGCTGACTCGTGGGGTGAGAACAGTTTCATATTCAATATTTCAGTTATAAAGAAGCAATGCGTGCGTATGGCTGTAAGCTTTTGGGAAGAAATGCATGTTCTTGTGAGTAGCAGACAAAGAGCGTTTGTTGTCTTGGAAAGTTTGAAATAGGGTTTCCAAAGCAGCAGTGCGTGAGCGCTGTCACTGGCTCGAACCCTCGGTACGCATAAAATGGCTGGTCGCAGGTTCGAGCGCAGTCAGTGTTTTGACCAAAATATGGGAATAATTCAAGTGTATCTGACATACCCACGATTTGGAAGGATATGTCCCTCGGACAGATACTTTTGGTCATATAATGGCACGGGTTCGACTCGCGGTCTGGACCCCGAAGACATCAAACGCAGTGTTTGGTTTTATATTTCTCTTCTTTAAACGAACCCCCGACGCTTAATGGCGTCGAATATCCCCGTGTTGATCTCTAACTCTCCCACAGTGCTGCATGGCTGACTGTACGGACAAAGGCGTTGGTGTCAAACCCTGAGCCATGCGCGCTGACAGATGAACGTACTTAATTTGTGATGAAAACCACGGGGAGGAGGAGTGAACCTGCTACCATGCAGGGCGACGTTCAAGCTCATTGCGTTGCGTTTTTTAAAACTGCATGGCATGCATGTGGGCACTTTTTTCCAAATATTAGATATTGAATGTTCTAATTATTATAGGTAAGAACCGTTTCTTAGCTTGGCTAACTAGTGTTGACGTCCTCAAGCTTTTAAATTCCTAAGAATCTGTCCGCGTTTAGTGTTTGTAATAGTGTTAAATGTGAGAACTTCATAAATGTGTGTTTAACACAATCTAAAACCTTTAAATTGCAATCATTGTGTCATTCAGATTAAAAATAAATTACTGGTAGATTTCTTGGTTTAGCCCTAAAACCAGCCTAGGCTAATTACAGGCGATTGTGTATAAATTGTATGCCATAATAAAATGAAATGCTGTTTCTATAAAAACATAAAGTGGTTTATTGTTTTACTTTACTGTCAGAAGTGTTATAATAAATGCTTTTAGTTTTGTATTATTGACATATTAGAGGTGGATACTAATGTAAACAACTGCTAAAATATGATCCACTAACCTTGTCCTCTGAAATGTGATTTAAGCTTTCGAAATATATTAATATTAGATTTGTTGACGACACTTATTGAGAAAGTTGATAATAGTTTAGGAGGGTTCAGGATACACCCAAGTAAGTACACCAATTAGTAAGTGATTGTTAAATTCTGACAGCTTTTAAAATAACCTGTCAAGAACCTGTTTGTGTTTTTGTTGTTTTTTTCTATGCGAGTTGCTCAGGGATGTCGTCAACATCTGATCCTATTGTTGAATGTATGTCTTCATAGGCATCAGTATTAATTGAAAATAACTTGAAATGTAATCATGTTGTTAACAATGATAGAAATTTGTTTATTATTTTTATATTACTATTACGTTATTAGCACTGATCCCTAGATGAAATATAATTACAGATTCTTATCAAGTCGCCCTATATCGCCTCCCCTGTTTACTCTTCTTAATTGCAACTGCAGCTGTCTGTTGTTTTTAATTCAATGTTATGATTCTGTTATTTTATGCTTTTGAAGTGCTTTCAAAACCCCTTGTAGATCAGAAAATAAACAAATGATTATATATTTTTTTCTTGGCCACATCAATACTTAGAATCCATTTTTATGCACTGTATGATGCTGTCTTTTTATATTTAATTTTAGATACACAATATTAAATAAATTATGTTTTAATGCATTATATATGAATGTGTAAAGTGTCTATAACTAAAAGGTGATTATTAGTGGGCTAAAAGCTACAGTTAATTTATACATTTTGCCAGCACTAATGTTTTCTGAAGAATTGTTACCTTAACATTTGCGATCTGTCTTTGTATTTTAAGTTTTGCAATTTCTGTTATAGAATTCAGAATCTTATTTTGTCTTTTTTTTTTCAGGCTGATGCCTTGGATGAGTAGAAGGTCCTGACTGATGGGAGTGCCAGAGACATGGGTGAAAATCAGCAGTTACGTCAGATGGACAATGAAATGGATATGGTGCCATTACTTGGATTATGCAAGATTTTGTGGCCCTGCCAGACACATATTCAATGTTCTCTCAGGTTATAATGAACTGACTTACTCCACAAGTACTGAATAATATGATTTCTTCTCTACTGCTGAATGTACAGAGGTTGCTATGCGCAAACAACACGCATTGGACGGGATAGGTGAGACCGTTCCACATATTAAGTGGACTGACCTTTCTGCAACCAAAGATTGCCAAATGTCTGTGGGTCAAAAGGCCGAATTATCAGAGGAGAGGCTCTCATTGAGGACAGAATCTAAGAACAAAGATGTGTTTCTTGTTTCGGCACAAGAGCAGACGGAAGTTGTAAAGGATTACAGCAAGCTGAACTCTGTGAGCAGCGAGCAGAACTCACCAAAATATGAATCCGATTCAAACCAGACGATTCGTCTTGAAAACCAGACTGTTAAAAATAAATGTCTTACTTTTGATGAGAATACAAGGAGTCTACCAACAAACATGCAGCTGATACCCAAGATGGAGTCTGTTAATGCTAGGACCGAAGTTTGTGAAGTCACAACCAAAGCTACAAACATTACTAAGATCTCAACCAGTGCTTTACTAGAGATTAAAGTTCAACAACAAGCTATTTTAAATAAAAGTTTCCACAATGATAAACTAGCACCACCTGCTGTAGCCAACCACACAAGCAATGAGTTGTGCACTAATAATAAAACACTTGTGGTTGATGTGGCACATGCAAGAGAGAGTAAACTTGGGATGGACATAAATCCAAATGAAAGATTAGAATATTGTAAAGGCCACATTGAAGATTATAAACCACAAATTCATTGTAATGTGAGAGAGGAGAGATTTGATTTTGGAAGGAATACTGCAATGACAAGTCCAGGAGATTCTTTGGGACAAAATGAAGAGGATGAGGTATTAGATTTAAGCCTCCCAAAAAAGAAAGACCGAAATAATGAGAGGCAGAGCGAATGGGTTGCAGACCCTGAATATGAAGGTTCACTACATATGGAAGTTGATGAAATTGAGGATGAGCCTCAACATATAGAAGTGGAGCAGGAGGACAGTAATGACATGTGCTGGATTCCATTAGTAAGTAACGCTCATGCATATCTCCCACAGGATTGGGATGGACATTTGTCCTCCCCTGCGCTTGAACACATGCCAAATCCATCGTACCTCACCGTCATAACCCCAGATCCAATGGATACACTACTTATAGATGACCAGGGGATTCCTTACACACTCACCCCAGATGGACAGAAAGTCCCACAAATTGATAATATACAAGACGCTGAACAAACAGCTCTAAACCCAAGGCAAGCTGAAGACAAGCCCTCTTCCTTTGCTGATGTAGAGGATATTGCTGACTCAACACTGCAGACACAACCCAATTCACTGTGTCCAAATATGTCTCTTGGTCATGTCTCAGTGAAAGCCTCACAAGTTGCCCCAAACCTTAAGTCAATATCTTCAGTAGCTCTTGATAAACCCTCCATCATACCTGCTGTGTCTGACTTGGCATCAGTTCCAATTCAGATTTTGGCTAATACTACAGGGTCAAACACTCCCATTCTTCTTCTTCCTCCATCTCAGCTTCAGTCGCTTTCCTCATCAGCCTCTAAGGCTAGCCCAGGGCTAATTACCCTTTCCTTACCGATTCCTCTTAGTCAGAACACTCAGTCCTCCCCCATGTTCCTAGTTTTGTCACCTCCGGTGTCCTCTACTCCGAGTTCATCCTCTCCTGGTCAATTATCTCAGATTTCCCCCTCTTCCACTGTTTCCTCAGCTACTTGTCCACTTGATTTGGGATCTACATTAAGTTCATGTCCATCACTTCTTAGCCTCGGCACGGTTTCATCTGCCACAGCTACAGACATCTCAGGATTGAATAACCCCTCTAATGTTCCTGCTAGCCCTACCTCATCAACTGCTTCCTCTAGCACTTCCACAGTGACCTCTACAAGTCCAACCAAGCAGTTCAGCTCCGATGCCTACTCCGACACACCAGTGCCCACTTCCTTTCGGGAGGCTCTTCTCAGATTGGCTGTGTCAGTGGAGAAGAAACAAGAAAACAAGCCTGAGGTTCATTCGGTCACTATTCCATCCCAATGTTCCGAAGCAACCAAGTCGGATTCCTCTTCCACAGTACATGGGAGTAAAAGCCACGAGACGGAGATAAACTGTGATGGTGACACTGAGTCTACCTCAGTAGACCAAGCAGACGCATTAGATACCATCTCTTCCACATCACCCCTTCCTCCCATATCACCCGTAAATCCCACCAATCACTCAAAGGACCAAGACCCACAAGCATTAGGCCCACGTCGCATTCTTTACTGTCAGTACTGTCCGCGGGTCTTCTACTATCTTTCAGACCTTGAACGCCATTCCATCACACACTCCCAAAGCAAACCCCACGTGTGTCATCTTTGTGGCAAGGCGTTCAAAAGATCAAGCCATCTTGAGCGACATAAACACATCCATACAGGTCAGAGAAACTTTGTGTGCCAGCTTTGCCCGAGGCGTTTTCGTGAATCAGGGGAGCTAATGAGACACCAGAGAGTACACACCGGTGAGAAACCTTTTCAGTGCTTGATATGCCACATGCGTTTTGCAGAGCGCAACACACTGCGACGTCACACAAAGCGCAAGCACCAAGGCCAGCATCTGGAGGCGATGGGCATGAAGGTGAAGCCAGAAAGTGGAGAAATTTCCCTCACTGGTGTACAAGGAGAGTCAGAAGAGAATGCTGAGTGGTACAGTTCAACAGTTCCTGAAATGGAGTCTGACAGTGACACCGGCGGAGATTGAACTACATGAGGGCATGAAAAAACTGATTTTCTTTTTTTTTTCTCACAAAATTTCAAGACAAGCATAGTTGTAAAAACGTTTATTGATATAACAATTCTTTACTTCTCACAAGACTAATATAATTGTCTGTAGTTCATTCCATTAACTCTCGAGACCTTTACTGGTGATGACTGAATCCTGCAATATTCACTTCAGATTCATTCTAATAAGCTTTAGTTATTGAGATTGACCACTTGATAAAAAAAAATTGTTTCAATTATTCATCTCGAATAATTTTGAATCACCATTATTTGATACTTATTGTTCTCATTTCAGTTTTCCGCATGTACAGCTTTCAAGGCTATGATGTAGTTATTGTAAAAGACTACGGTACTTAGTTTCAATATTTATAATTTTATATTATGATATATTGAAATAATGACACAGAGACAAGAAATTGCCTAGATCAGCACATCTCTAAATCATTTTGTGTCCACAAAACTCTGCAGATATCCACAGAATTGGACCATACATCATTCTCAAAGTTCTCATCATCTTCCACTCTTTTCACGTTCATTTATGGCTAATTTGATCATGCTTTTTCTGCTTTTAGCTACTGCAAACTATGCTTTGGTTTTCTTGTCTTTCAAACTTGTTCAATGCAAGTGCATTGTGGCTGCTTTGTGATTCTCCACCTGACCTGCAGGGGACAGTATGGTGTTGTGTTTTCTTTATACTCTTTCAAACTTGAGATTTACAAATGCGGGGATCTTCTGACCTGGCACTGTTGTCACTTACACATTTGTCTTTTGTTGGTTGGCATCTTTTGTTGGCATTTTATTTATTGTTGGCAATTTTTATTGGAATTTTCGTTCATCTTCTTTGACTTAAATTAACAGCCCAACAATGAGAGTTGCTACCAAGAAGACTAATGACTGCAGTCAATTGGGAGAGGGTGTATTTTTTTAATTTTTTTTTTTTTTTTTAATATAATTGACTATGGAAAAGTAAAGCATGCACCTGGTTACAGAGTTTAGTACTCCTTTAAAACATTCTATCATGCTTTCTTTAAAATCAATTTTACATCGGTATCTAATCTGTATATTTCTACAGACCCCCCCCCCCCCCATTTTTAATTTTCAGATATTATGCATTATGAAACATTTTGCTCTCTGTTCATTTCGGATTCTCCCTTTTGCTTTTTTTTTTCCAAACAGAGAATTTTTGGTCACCTTAGTATTTTTCTTTTGAATGATCTGCATTGTTCATTTTTAATATTGAACATCAACTATTTGGTTTATAAACTCTTTTTCCTCTTCAGGGAAACAGGCTGTTTCATTTTATTAGCGTGAAATATATATATATTTTTCATCTGGACAAAGAAGGTTTTACTTCTCATAATAGGTTGTCAGACATTTGTTACAAATTGTTGGAAAAAGTTTTAATTTGAAGTTCATCTGCACATGTTCTTTTTGATATGTAATTTAATTTATTTGAGACAAGATTCCAACTTTGAGTTGCAGTTTTAAACTTTAAACTTTGATTAGCTGAATGTCTAACTTATTAGTTTTTTTTTTTAAATTAAGTTCTCTAAGTTGATAAGTTGAAAAAAAAAAGGTTTAACCCCTGCCGATTAATTTATGTTTATGTAATTCGACGTGTTAAATAACCAAACATCATGCATGGACTGCAGACATTGGGCTAATCTAAAATTCTGTTGCTTAAATCTCATATTTGATTAAGAATCGGAATATTTGTGCACGCTAATTAAAGCTCGTCAAGCCCTTTTCTTTTGCAGTGGTTCCCATGCTTAATTAACTTTGCTCTAGGCACGTTTGACATGTTATGCTTTAGACATATTCTGCATGCTGTGGAAGCAGCTGCTGAACAATATCACTAAATTTGCTTTGCACAGTTGTTTACATATTACTTCATTCATATATATTCAGATTGATTTAGTTTTTATTGAGCACATTTCACAATATGCATTTAAAAAATGCTTGGTTCCTTTTTGCAATGCTAAGATGAATGCTCAGAGTGTGCTTAACGAAGAACAATCATGCACCAATGAGAACTATTTATTTATGGTGAAAATGTATTTAAAATGGTGTGTTATGTCACAGAACACTTATATATTTAATACACAATTTAAAAATAAGACTGCAGATATTTAAACAGCCTAATTTCTGTAACCTGTGTCAGGATTTTGAATAAAATGAATCAAATTGAAATGCCAATGAGAAGTTATCCATCTTTTTCAGACAAAATTATTATTATTATTTCATTTTGCATTAAAGGAGTAGTTCACTTTTAAAAAAACATTTGCTGATAATTTACTCGCCCCCCATGTCAACCAAGATTTCCATGCCAATCTTTCTTCAGTCGAAAAGAAATTAAGGTTTTTGATGAAAACATTCCAGGATTTTTTCCATATAATGGACTTCAATGGGAACCAAACGGTTCAAGGTCCAAAAGACCGTTTCAGTGCAAACTGTTCAAAGGGCTTTAAACGATTCCAGATGATGAATAAGGGTCTTATCAAGCGAAACGATTGCTCTTTAAAAAAAAAAAACAGCAAAAAAGTTTAAGTTTTATAAGCTCAAATGGGCGCCTTGCTCTGTTCTGCGATGCACGTTCTTGACTCTCCTGTTCGAACTCGTTTATCAAAATGAATGAATCTTTTTCCGTGTCATTAAGTTCATTCAACGAACGCAAATGAACGAGTTGACTCTGGAAAAGATTCGTTCATTGTGATGAACGAGTTGGAACAGGCGAGTCACGAATGTGCATCGCAGAACAGAGCAAGGCGACCATTTGAGCTTATAAAACTTAAACTTTTTTTTAAAATGAGCGATTGTTTCGCTTGATAAGACCCTTATTCATCGTCTGGAATCATTTAAAGCCCTTTGAACAGTTTGCAGTTTGCACTGAATCTGTCTTTTGGACCTTGAATCGTTTGGTTCCCATTGAAGTCCATTATATGGAGAAAATCCCTGAATGTTTTCATCAAAAAACCTTAATTTCTTTTCGACTGAAGAAATAAACACATGGACATCTTGGATGACATCGGGGTGAGTAAATTATCAGCAAAAGTTTTTTTTTTTTTTTAAAGTGAACTACTCCTTTAAAATGAAAAGTGCCATTCCATTGTGTGTTATAGACTATATGATACATAGACTTTGTAATTTATTCATTCAGTGAATGGATGAAATGCATAGTACTGGTTCATATAACTCAGGTTTAAAGTGTTTATGAATGTACTTCACCTCCTTTAACCTTACAAGCTGTGCTAGACTGGAGTGTCTGTGTACGTGTGAGTGACAGCTTAGATGTTCTCAGAGGGCCTGTGTTCAATTTGGCAGCATCAAGGAGAGACGCTCCCACAATCAAGCTGACAGCAGGCGTCTATGAGTGTCGAGTATGAATGCGTGCGTTTGTGTGTAAGAGCAAGAAAGAGAGAAACCGTAAAAAATGTTGTTGACTTTTTCAGCAAGACTATGTGCTTGTTACATTGATGGTTGTTAGCTACCTTGAATTATCAGGCAGTATAAATAATTTCCAGATAATAGTGAAGCGACAGGATTTTAGACAAAATGGCACATGTTTTTGTGGCAAGGAGAGGCTTGTTACTATGAAATGCTTAGGGAAGAGTGTTATTTTAAATATGCTGGGCATTGATGTTTTCTGAGATGTAGATGTTGAGGCACAAGGGAGATCTGCAATGGAAATGCTAGCATAGCAGTGGTGAAGAAGATTGGATGAGCGGTGTGAATGACATGGTGGAGATGGAGATGATTCGAGGTTCAAGCACAAAGTCTTATGGAACTTGTTATTGAGGAAGCTGGATGAGGAGTGCAAGTATTTTTTTGGGGATCGGAAAGCGTAATAATGTACAGAACATATTCTAGATCAAGGATGCTGTTGCATATTTATGCCACCAGAGGTCAAACTCACTCCAAGTTATGCATGGCCACATCAACCTGAAGCCATGTGACTAGCCTGGCAACATTTGAAGTTATCAGTCTTCTTTCAGTGGTTCTCAATAGCTGAGTCGTGACTCATAAAGGGTTTATGCAAATTATTTAAAGCAATAACTATATCATCTAGAACATGTTACCTTTTTAAAGGCTAATGTGAATACAATATTTGACCAACGTTTAAACCCTATTCATCTTATGTCATTCCTGCTTACATTTGAACGATACACAATTCTGGTACCGTGCAAGTGTAAAAACTGGTTCCTAAAGTGACGCAACTGAAAACCACTGGCCGATTTACACTGCTTTTGATCAATTACTAAAAAAGCAGACAATTTTTGTTGCTGTGTTACATGTAATATTTCTTTGCAGATATTAGTTATTTAAAGGAGTTGTTCACTTTAAAAAAAAATTCTGCTGATAATTTACTCACCCCCATGTCATCCAAGATGTCCATGTCATTCTTTCTTCAGTCGAAAAGAAATTAAGGTTTTTGATGAAAACTTTCCAGGATTATTCTCCATATAATGGACTTCAATGGGAACCAAACGGTTCAAGGTCCAAAATACAGTTTCTGTGCAAACTGTTCAAAGCGCTTTAAACGATTACAGACAATGAATAAGGGTCTTATCAAGCGAAACGCTTATTTAAAAAAAAAAAGTTTTATAAGCTAAAATGGTCGTCTTGCTCTGTTCTGTGTGACTTTCCTGTTCGAACTCGTTTATCAAAATGAACGAATCTTTTTTTCATGTCATTTGGTTCATTCAATGAACAAAATGAACGAGTTGACTTGGGAAAAGATTTGTTCTTGTTGATGAATGAGTTCGAACAGGAGAGTCACGAACGCGCATCACAGAACAGAGCAAGGCGACCATTTGAGCTTATAAAACTTAAACTTTGTTTGTTTTATTTTTTTAAAATGAGTGATCGTTTCACTTGATAAGACCCTTATTCATCATCTGGAATCGTTTACAGCCCTTTAAACAGTTTGCAGTTTGCACTGAACTGTCTTTAGGACCTCAAACCGTTTGGTTCCCATTGAAGTCCATTATATGGAGAAAAATTCTGGAATGTTTTAATCAAAAACCTTAATTTCTTTTCGACTGAAGAAAGAATGCCATGGATATCTTGGAGGATGGGGTGAGTAAATTATCAGCAAAAGGTTTTTTTTTAAAGTGAACTACTCCTTTAATGATAATTGTTTTGACACGATTAGCAATTCCAACCCTATCCTATTTTCTGCAGGTCTGAATTGCAGAAGATGCCTGGAGAATGACATGAGATGAAATAGAGGTTGCCACCTTGTGTGCAGAGGTATTTGTCATTTTTGTCAATGGTATGAATAGAATGTGTTGTTTCAGTTAAACTGCTCCTCCTGTGACACAATATGAAACAAGCTAATTGAGGTGAGCTAGAGGGATGAAAGAAAGACAAAGATGGACAGTAACAGGTTCTAATCACAGAGGGATTCCCGAAAGGGGGGCTCGGGGGGTTGATGGAAGGAAGCGTGATTACATCACTTTTCCCCCTATAGTACATCACGGCATAAATTGCATGTGCGTCACACAACAAAGGGCCAAGTTTTTTCCAATTCTATCATTCACAACCTTCATGCTCATAATGGTTCGTGTGGTTATATTCAGTGTCAAGGTTGAGACACTAATGTCTCTTATTAAATTGGCTAATATTGGCTTTACCAGCTGCTCGATGCTGTTATGAACAGGTTGTCTTCTGTCTGTCTCACACAAATATGTTGTGCACTCAACTTGTAACTCTTGTTTTTGGACTTTCTGCCTTTTTTTTCCTCGCTCTTGTATCTCTCTTTCTCTCACTCACTGGCTGTCTGTGACCTGCTGATACAGCAGCACACACCAACCTGTCCGTCAAAGTCACCAAACAGGTGGTGCAGTAATGATCTCCCTTTCCCAACCCCCTCCTCTTCCCTGGCCCGTCTCTCACTCATAGACAAACATATTTGCATGTTTGTGATTAAAATTGAACCTCTTGGCGAATGTGAATGTTTTACATTCTAAGTATCTTATATTTATACGTACATAACTTTTGATGGAGCAAATTCATCATTTAGAGTGTATTAAAACTTGATAGTTCACTCAAAAATGTTA